GTTGCTCTGAGACCAGCCCTGACTTGCGTTCTCCCTCCTCAGGCCCTTCCTGCCCCAGAGCTCCTGGCCCCATCCTGTAGCCTGTGCTCAGCCCCAGGGCTTAGTGGCTGCTGGGCAGCTCCCAGGTCGTCTGAGCTGAAGCCTCCCAACCCTACGCTGCATCCTGGCTGGGCAGTGGTCACTGAGTCCCCCCTGAGCGACCTGCCGTTCACACGTGAAGTAGCACTGTGCCCTCGCCCAGCCCATGCAGAGCTCTGACGTGGCAGGGCCATTGCTCTGGGACCCTGGCCTTGAGCTGCACCCAGGGTGACCATGCCACAGCCAGGGCCAGCCGTCCCCTATCACAGTGCCTGCTCCCTTGTGGTAGTCGCCCCTGCCAGCCACCAGCACAGCGAACCTGTCCACCACAGAGACTTCCACTCGGGACCCTCACCCTCGCAGGGACAGAGGACCCTGCCCAGGCTTGGCACAGAGCCCCCTGCCCCAGGCCCTCTGTGTGCCCTGCTCTGCGAGCCCCCACACCCCAGCCAGCTCTCCTGCACCCCTGGCTCCTCCCTCTGTCCTCGCTGCCTCCTGCCCACCATCTCAATACAATAAACATTCTCCTTCCTGGAAGTCACTGCCAAGCGCTCTGCTGTTTCCTGACTCTCTGGGGACATTTGCTCTGTGACCTCTGGGTGGGAATTTCAGCACCTGAAGTCTTTGAGTCTCGTTTTCCTTTTCTGCAGTTGCATTCTTGCTCCTGGGCTTGTCTCCTTGGGTGCTTAGTTGCTTTAAGCTGAGGAATTAAGGCGAGTAGCTGGGCATCTCAGGGCCTTGGGGGCAAATACCAAGAATTCTCAGAGTCTGCACCAGCCTCCACCAGCTTTGTGGCTTGTGTCTGTGGACCCCTTCAGAAAGGCAGAGCAGGACAGACCACCACCAAGGCAGAGGTGGCCCAGCCACCAGGGCGCTTCTCCTGGTCCCCAGGGCCTAACAGCGCCCCACTGGCTGGGCAGTGCTGAGGCACAGCCTGCAGCTCTGAGTGGGGGTCCCCAAAGACCCAGACTCACTGTCAGCTTTGATTTTGGTGCCGCGGCCCCCGTGTGCCAAGTTTAAGTGTGCCAGGCCAGCAGACGTCCTTCAGGACCCACTGACATCTCGGTTCTGATCTAGGCCCCAGGTCAGAGAGGAGTCCTTGGCCCGAGGACCAGGAACTTGGTAGAAGGGAGAGCGTTACATCTGTATTCACAGCAACCTCTAACTGAAGTCCAGCCTGTCTGCACAGACAACTCAGACACCTGGGTGCCGAGTCTTGGGTCAGCACCTTGGATTACAGCAGCTCTGCATGAGTGTGTGTGTGTGTGTGTGTGTGTGTGTGTGTGTGTTCACACGTGCCCAGAGGAGAAACTCATGGTATATCACAAGTTTACTCCTCCACATTATAATAGCTGTTTTCATGCCATTAGTTTCAATGGAAACCCTACCAGGCATTTCATTTATCAACATGGAACTCCTGTGCCCTAGCCAGGGAGCTCCAGGTATGCAGGGCCAGCCCTAGCCCTGTCCCCTCTGGCCTGAGAGGCTGCACTGTGCTGTGCACTGCTGTGGCACAGGGAGATTCCTTGCAGTCCAGTCATTTGGGGCAGGATGACTGCTGCAGGACCACACCACAGGTTCCCGCCTGAGGAGGTGCCATGGACTATGGAGGTACTGTCTAACCCTTCACCCCACAGTCAGTGGCAGTTCCTCAGTTCATAGGTGAGCCTTTTCTTGGGAACTGGTATAGACAAGAATCCACTCATCTGAACAGACCATTCTGTTGTGAGGGAAAGTTTATTGCAGGGAACAGAGCTTAAAATCAGGGAGAGATTCTAGCAGTCAGCTGGAAAAAGCCGAGTTTATCACATCTGTGTGTGGATGGACAGACACTGGCTGGGAGAGAGTCCATCTGTGAGTGGGTGGGCTGACATTGAGAGAGAGACAGCAGCTAACTGGGAGAGGAATCAGGCTTCTATAGGCATTGAAGGGTCTCAGGAATCTGGGGTGAAATGTTGATGATTGAGTCCAAGGATGGTCAGAGTAGGTGTGGAGATGATCACTGGACCTTTCTGTACCGGGGAGATTGTTGTCTGTGTACTGAGAAACAGCCCGTCATTTGTTGAAAGCAGCCTTTTTGCTTTGTCCTGTTTGTTTCTGAAGGACTCACTTGGGTCAGGCGTGTCAGGGACCACTGTATCTTTTCCTGCACCGTCCAGGTATTGTTCTATTCCTGTGTGGCTTTGGCAACATCTGTGGAGGTCCAGTGCTGAGACAGACGCTCCCTGTGAGAGGACTGGTGACCCAGTGTCACCTATGTAGGATCCCTGGGCCATCCCTGCAGGTCCTTGGCGTCCTGAACAAAGAACTGCACAGGACACACCGAGAAGGCAGGAGGGTGTACATCACTGAGGGTGGAAAGTGGTACACTCTGCAGAGTGACAGGGGCCAGAGCAGACGCACAGCGGTCCCAGGACAGAGGCAGAGCAAGCCTCTTGTATCCAGTCCAGGTCATCTGCCTCTCTCATGCAAATAAGGCATTGGGACAGTTGTCCTGTCAGACACTAACTTGACCTGAGGCCATGTATACACTGTCCTATCAAAAAGCTCCCTGAAGAAACAAAAGCTTATGGCACCGGAATAAATTAAGCATAAAGTAAATGCAAATAAAAGTTAAAAAAAAAAAAGAAGAAGAAGAAGAAGCTCCCTGAGCTTCCTGATGTATTAAAACAAGGATCAGGAAGTCTTTTGATTGGCTGTGCCCACATACAAATGAACCATTGAAAGCATCTTGTGACTGGTCCTAAAAACAACACCAGATTCAAATGCAGATGGAAAATAGCGCTATCCTGGTTAGCTCTGTGCAGTGATGATGGGGTCACCTATGGGGAGTGTCCCTGACCCATTTCCTATCTTACCAGAAGGTGAGGACAGAGGCACCCCAAACCTTCATTTGCTGTCCCTAGTGAGGCTGGGGGAGGCTTCTCAGCCCAGGATCTGGGCTGAGCAGGGCTGCGGAGTCTCTTCCCTCTGGGGTCCCAGGACCTGGCGCCAGAACGGTGGATCTCTCACAGCCTCGCCAGCATAGCCTCTGAAGATGGCCATCTCTGTCCTACTCTCTGCCATTCGGGGGGGTACTGGGATGAAAACACCTTTTCATTTTCCGGGAGCTGTGGATCGGACAGCAAGGGCCTCTGGGCCCACACACAATGGAGAGACTTTCCCAAGGGCACTAGCCCATCAGGACCGATCACCCTGAGGGCCCACTTCCTGACACCACCCATCAGGATGAGGGTGCGGTTTGGGGGGCACAGCAGCCCGCCCCCAACACCACTCCGTCATTTTGCACGTGTTCTTCAAGATTGTGAGTAGGGCACTCTCTCAGCCTCCCTCGGGTGAAAACAGTGCTGTGGCCTTCATTAGAGCAAGGCACTATGGTTTGAGGACCCACACGGACCTCTGCACCCGGCCCCCACGCTGCGCTGCCGTGGCTCAGGCTGTGTCTGATGCTGGCTCATGCCCAGGGGTGCTGGTTTCTCCTGCTGCTACCAGGCTGCTCCTCTGTGATTTAAAAATTCGCCAAACTCTGCCCGGGTAGACTGTGGAGGACTTTGCTGAAATTCCATAGCCCTTCCAGTCCACACACACACATCCTTGGGCTTCGCTCAGAACCATTCCTGCTGTGCCTTCTGTCTACTCGTGCCTGGTTAGCGCGTTTGTCCAGCCTAGCCTGCTCTGCATGTCGACTTTGCTCTCCCCACACGGCAGGCTTCTCGACCCCACGTGCAGGAGGAACTGCCCACGAGAGCCCCAACACCACCTCACCGAGCCCCTGGAGCCCATTAAGCTCTTCCCAAACCAGAAGGAATTTGTAAATCCAGCTGCTCAGATTTACTTGACCACTTGTTCCCTTCCACTTGCACAGCTATTTCTGAAGGGAAAACTGGCTAAGACTGTGGCCTCCACTCAGGCCCCGCACTGGCTGGGCATCACGGGTATTTATGAACCCTAATGAAGGGCTACAGGGCTCACATGGCAACAAGGAAAAGGAAGGGGCTGTGTCCTGCCGGGAAAACATGCCAGGAAGGATAAAAGCCCAGGATCTCAGACATCTCCCACACTCACACACACCTCATTCACACTCACACTCACACTCACACACTCACTCCCAGCCCAACCCCGCCATGGCCGCCTCCACCATGTCCGTCTGCTCTGAGCCCTGGCAGGTGGACGACTGCCCAGAGAGCTGCTGCGAGCCCCCCTGCTGCGCCCCCAGCTGCTGCCAGCCCAGCTCCTGCGCCCCGGCCCCCTGCCTGAGCCTCATCTGCACCCCAGTGAGCTGTGAGTCCAGCCCGAGCTGCCAGCCGGCTTGCTGCTCCTCCTCCTGCCAGCCGTCCTGCTGTGAGTCCGTCTGCTGCAAGCCCGTGTGCTGCACACCTGTCTGCTGCAAGCCCGTCTGTTGTAAGCCCGTCTGCTGCAAGCCTGTCTGCTGCACACCTGTCTGTTGTAAGCCTGTCTGTTGTACCCCCGTCTGCTCCGGGGACTCCTCCTCCTCCTGCTGCCAGCAGTCTGACTGCCAACCAGCTTGCTGCTCCTCGTCCTGTCAGCCGTCCTGCTGCAAGCCTGTCTGCTGTAAGCCTGTGTGCTGCACACCCGTCTGCTGTAAGCCCGTCTGCTGCACACCCGTCTGCTGCAAACCTGTCTGCTGCATCCCCGTCTGCTCCGGCACCTCCTCCTCCTCCTGCTGCCAGCAGTCTGACTGCCAACCAGCTTGCTGCTCCTCGTCCTGTCAGCCGTCCTGCTGCAAGCCTGTCTGCTGTAAGCCTGTGTGCTGCACACCCGTCTGCTGTAAGCCCGTCTGCTGCACACCCGTCTGCTGCAAACCTGTCTGCTGCATCCCCGTCTGCTCCGGCACCTCCTCCTCCTCCTGCTGCCAGCAGTCTGACTGCCAACCAGCTTGCTGCTCCTCGTCCTGTCAGCCGTCCTGCTGCAAGCCTGTCTGCTGTAAGCCTGTGTGCTGCACACCCGTCTGCTGTAAGCCCGTCTGCTGCACACCCGTCTGCTGCAAACCTGTCTGCTGCATCCCCGTCTGCTCCGGCACCTCCTCCTCCTCCTGCTGCCAGCAGTCTGACTGCCAGCCAGCTTGCTGCTCCTGCTCCCCCTGCCAGCCGTCCTGCTGCGTGCCCATCTGCTGCAAGCCCATCTGCTGCACACCCTCCTCCTCCTCCTCCGTGTCCCTGCTCTGCCGCCCTGCCTGCCCCCGCCCAGCCTGCTGTGGCCTCTCCCTGGGCCAGAAGTCCTGCTGCTGACAGGCCTTGTCCCCCAGGGCTGGGTGGCTCATGCTGCAGAGTTGCTCTGAGACCAGCCCTGACTTGCGTTCTCCCTCCTCAGGCCCTTCCTGCCCCAGAGCTCCTGGCCCCATCCTGTAGCCTGTGCTCAGCCCCAGGGCTTAGTGGCTGCTGGGCAGCTCCCAGGTCGTCTGAGCTGAAGCCTCCCAACCCTACGCTGCATCCTGGCTGGGCAGTGGTCACTGAGTCCCCCCTGAGCGACCTGCCGTTCACACGTGAAGTAGCACTGTGCCCTCGCCCAGCCCATGCAGAGCTCTGACGTGGCAGGGCCATTGCTCTGGGACCCTGGCCTTGAGCTGCACCCAGGGTGACCATGCCACAGCCAGGGCCAGCCGTCCCCTATCACAGTGCCTGCTCCCTTGTGGTAGTCGCCCCTGCCAGCCACCAGCACAGCGAACCTGTCCACCACAGAGACTTCCACTCGGGACCCTCACCCTCGCAGGGACAGAGGACCCTGCCCAGGCTTGGCACAGAGCCCCCTGCCCCAGGCCCTCTGTGTGCCCTGCTCTGCGAGCCCCCACACCCCAGCCAGCTCTCCTGCACCCCTGGCTCCTCCCTCTGTCCTCGCTGCCTCCTGCCCACCATCTCAATACAATAAACATTCTCCTTCCTGGAAGTCACTGCCAAGCGCTCTGCTGTTTCCTGACTCTCTGGGGACATTTGCTCTGTGACCTCTGGGTGGGAATTTCAGCACCTGAAGTCTTTGAGTCTCGTTTTCCTTTTCTGCAGTTGCATTCTTGCTCCTGGGCTTGTCTCCTTGGGTGCTTAGTTGCTTTAAGCTGAGGAATTGTTCTCACCCCATGAGAGGTCAGAGTACTAGCTCTCCACCTTCCTTTCTGTCCTCTGCCTACAGCAGCGCTGTTCACTGCCAAGTGTGACTGCCAGGCCAGCAAATGTCCTTCAGGGCAAAGTGACTTTTTGGTTTTGTTCAAGGATCCAGGTCAAAGTAGGAGTCTTTAGTTCGGGGACCAGAACTTGGTAGAAGGAACAGGTTTACATCTTTATTTGCACCAACTTCTCTCCAAAATCCAGCCCTAGGCTTGTCACTAGAACCCGAGACTTACTCGCAGATAGAACGGACACACGGATACCATTCCAGTTCATCTCTCCTCAGGCTGTGGTCACACACATAATGAACACACTCCTCATGGGCAGTGGTACTGCGCACACACACACCTCAACTGTTGTCACGCCCTTTCCCCATCCCTCCATCTCTTCTACCCTCCATGCGAGCCCACCTTCTGAGTGCCCTTCTGCTCGGGCTGGCCTCTGACCAGCCCCTCAGCGTGCCAGCCCTACCCCTGCCCCTCTTAGTGGGCCGCTGAGCCTCCTCAGCTCCTCCCTGCTCTTGGCCCATGCTGTGTGGGCGGTGTCGCCATCCTGGACCTCGGCTCCATCCCTCCCAGTCTGACCAGCAGTGTCACTGCTGGTCCCTGAGCACCCATAAAGCCCCTGCTGCCCAGGCTATCTCTCTGTGTTGGTTTCACTCGGTGTGAGAAGGGTAGAGGCCTGGCCCTGGCTCTGGCGGTGGCCCTTGCACCCTCAGGCATTGTGTGTGACCTGGAGGCCCTGTACCTCGTTCCGTGTCTGCTGCCAGTCCCTGCCCAGCTCTGAAGGTCCACAGAAGCCCAGGGTGCATCCTGTTGGTGCCACCTGGCTCTGAGCAGCACCCGCTCCATGCAGATGATGCCACTTTGCCCAGGGCTCAGGAGTTGTGGGGTCACCTGGCCACAGCTGAGCTGGAGGTGGGACACTGAATACCTTAGCTGGCCCAGGACCCAAGGGTGCTGTTCAGCAAAGGATGGGCATTCTGGACTACAGTCCGCAAGCTCAGGGCCATCGCATGTGCACCACACACAGGACACAGACGCAGCTTTGGAGCATGCAGTCTGGATGGAGGTGGGAGGTGGTGGCAGAAGCCCAGCATGGCGAGAGCTCTGGTCCATGGGACAGGGGACAAGTGAGTGTGTGTGTGCAGGTGCGGCCAGGCAGGCATGGTACTCCACAACTGTGTCAATCTGAGGGCTCCGTCCCCAACTACAGTGGCAGAGCAAAGGCCACAGCCACGAGAGAGTCACTGCACTGCCCACGAGGGGTCCTGAGTGGGGCATCATAGCACATCCAACACAGACCTCTTGGTGTCCTCTCCTTGCCATCTGACCAGGGAACATGCATCACTATGGTCACCTTTGCCAAGGTCACAGCTCTCCAAATGACCTGGGCAACATCAGAGGGCAGCATGGAAATGTTTTGACTGTTACGTGTGACACCATGGTGAATGTCCCCACTGTTAGGATTTATTTCTAGATATCACCCCAAAGCCTCATGTACTCATAAGCAGGGCTTTTGGAATGTGATTGGATTATGGGGCTCATAGCTGACTTGCTGTTAGGAGGTGGGGTCTGGGCAGAAGAGTGGAGCACCATGAGGTAAGCAGCTTTTCCACCACGACCCTCTGCCAGGCTGCCCTGCCTTGGAGCCAGCCAACTATGGACGAAACCTCTGCAGACTGTGAGCCAAAATAGACCTCTGCTCCTTTAAGTCATGGGTGTTGGGTATCATGTTTCAGTGACCAGAAAGTGACTAAAACCGGTTTTGGTAATGGAAAAGTGGGGTTGTGGCTGACCATATGGTTCAGAAGTTGTTGGAACTGGCTCAAGAGAGGAGTTAGGGAAGGTTTGAAGTTGCCACCTGGAAACATCCTAGAATGCTGTAGGCTGAGCTGAGAGATGCTGGTCAGATCTCAGAAAACCAGAAATGCAGGCAGTAAAGACCAAGCTCAGGAGGTTTCATTTGGGAACATTGGTTTTGGGGCTCATGACCATGTGTTTTGCTCTAGCAAAAAAAATAATAATAATAATTTTTTTTGGTACCAGGGATCAAACTCAGGCAGCAGTTTAAGAGGCAGGCAGCAGAACCACTGAGCTAAATCCTCAGTCCCCCAAAATCCATTTTTTTTTTGTCAGCCAAGAGTGGTGGCGCACGCCTGTAATCCCAGCACTCGGGAGGCCGAGGAAGGAGGATTGCTGTGAGTTCGAGACCAGCCTGGGCCATGTAGTGAGTTCCAGGTCAGTCTCAACTACATAGTGAGACCCTGTCTCAAAAAACCAAAAAAAAAAAAATTTTTTTTTTTTATCTACATTTTGCTCATGTCCTGAGATTTTGTGAGAGACTGCAATGAAAGGTGGTGGGCTAATTAAACTGGCAGAGGAAATTTCAAGGCAGCCCAACAGTCAGGCTGCAGCAGAGCTACTTTTGGGGGCTTTAGCCAGCTCTACAGTAAGAATGGAGAGCAAACAGCACAGCTGAGCGATGGTGAAAGTTTTGGATTTCATTAGAAAGGAAGCTCCTGTAAAGTTGGGGCCTGTAAATTTGAAGCAAAGGAGAGATTAATTCCTCAAAATATTAAAATTCAAAAGAAGCAGGGTAAAAAGAAGAAGAAGAAGAAGCAGGGTATTTTGAATCAGTACCATAGGAAAGATGTCTTGAAGGCATCAGGGGAAACAACAAGACTCTGCCCATCAGCCTACCAAAGTGGAAAACTGCTTTGAGAAGAGAGCCTTAGGGCACTGTGTTAGAAAAGGGCTGATTGGGCTGGTGGTTCTGCCACCTGCCTTATAAGTGCAAGGACCTGAATTCAATCCCCAGTATCAAAAGGAAAGGGCTGATAGGGAATTTGTTCCCCAGGATTTGGTTCACAATGCTCAACCATTCCGGCACTCAGAGACCTCTGCAGCCATGATCCAAGGGGGCCCAGCTACTCTATAAGAGGGCAGCATACCTTGGTATTGTGCATATGGTGTTTGTTTTATGGACATGCAGAAGGCAAGAGATGTGGAGTTACAGAGGCTTCTACCCAGATTTCAGAAGAAGCCTGGGAGGCCAGGCAGTGTCTCTCTGATAGGGCAGTGGGACAAGCTGTGAGAGTAATGCAGAAAGTGCAATGGAGACTCCAAGTAGTTTGAAAGCCAAGAACCTAGAATGTCTGAGCAAAACTGCAAGAAGTGAGCAAAGCCAAGCCAAGAGAGAAGCCATGAGAACTACAGCTACTAGAAATGCCATAGGCACAGGACTACCAAAGCCATCTAGAGTCCCCATTTCATTGCTACAATGTGCCCAGAACTGGACATGGCTTTGGTGTTTGTCCTGTGTGTTTTGGTCTTGCTCTGGTAAATTTCTTTTTCTCCCTGTTTCTTCCTTTTGGAATAGAACTATTTACCCTTTATCAGTGTGTCTTGAGAGTGTTTAATATTCTATTTTATTTTTACAGAGTTAATAGTTAACAGTTTGCCTTTAGTCTCAAGGGGACTTTGGTCTTGGACTTTTTAGTAATGCTAAAACTGTTAAGATTTTGGAAACTCTTACAGATGGACCAAACAAAATTTGCATAAAGAGATATGTATAAGTCTTTTTGGGGCCATGGGGGAAATGTTATAATTTATGTATAGATATTCCTTTAAACCCCATTATCTCATAGGTGGGACTAGGGATTGTGGGAGTGGTGTAGCTAACTTGCTATTGGGTGGGGGGTATGCTAGAAGAGGGGTTCACTGTGGGTGTGAGCTATTCCCCTAATCACTCTCTGCTTTCTGATCACCACGAGAGGAGAAGCTTCTCCTCTACCACGCCCCTCTGTGGTGCTCCCCTGCCTTGGAGCCAGTTGACTATGAACTAAAACGTTTACAACCAGTGAGTCAAAATCAGCCACCTCTCCTGTAAGCTGTATCATGTCTCAGGGAGAAGAAAGTGAGTGAGACACCAACCATGCACCCCTGGCCTCAAGTGTGAGTTGTGCTATTGTCTGGATTCCTAGGAGTGGAATTTCCAGTCCAAGTGTGAGTTTTAAATCTTACCAGGTGTCTTTTCCCAATCCCCCCTCCCGAGAGTGACATCAGAAGAAACTGGAGCAAGGACACCTGAAGCCCCATCCTGCCAAAGAAGCACAACACTGGCAAACCCACACACACACACACACACACGCACACACACACACGCGCACACACACACACACACACACACACACACAC